GTTTCGCAGCGACGATTCCCACGAGTTCGGCTACAGCACCCCCGGCCTGGACTTTATCAGCTCCAGCGGTTACCCGAAAATCGAGTTTGGCTCCGACAGCGAGGAGGAACACCACGAGCCCATGTCACCAGGGGCGAAGGCTGAAAGCCCCGACACGTACCATGCCACTGAGAGCAGCACCGGGCGGGAACTGAGTCGGGTCCGATCGGGCTCCCAGAGTCGCCCCATCCTCACCACCCTGTATATCCAGATGGAGTATTGCGAGAAGCACGTGAGTGGAACTTCCATGCCACCCACTCCCCCTAGAATTCTGCTAATCGTACACAGACCCTCCGGGATCTCATCCGAAATGGCCTGTATGATGATGTCGAACGGTCGTGGCGGTTGTTCCGACAGATCTTGGATGGACTGAGTCACATCCATTCTCACGGGATCATCCACCGCGACCTCAAGCCCGACAACATCTTTATCGACGTCGCCAACAACCCGCGGATCGGTGATTTCGGTCTCGCGACCAGCGGGCAGTTTACCACCGCCGTGCGCTCCTCCGATGCGGCTGAGTTCGAGGGAAATCTCACCCGGAGTTTGGGCACGACGTATTACGTGTCACCGGAGATGAAGTCGGGCTTCACAGGACACTACACGGAGAAGGTCGACGTAAGTACCGGGCGACAGTGACACGGGAAAATGGAAGCTGACCAGTGCAGATGTTCTCTTTGGGAGTTATCTTCTTTGAAATGTGCCACCCTCTCCCGACCGGCATGGAACGGGATCAGACTTTGCGAGAGATCCGGGAGAAGGACCATACGCTCCCGCCTACTTTCCAATACTCGGATAAGGTAATCCAGGGCCAGATCATCGAATCGCTACTGAAACACAATCCGAACGAGCGCCCGTCGGCTTCGGAGCTGCTTCATAGTGGTCAGATCCCCTTGCAGGTCGAAGAGGAGACATTCCGACGTGCCATTGTCCACTTGCTCTCCAATCCCAATTCCCCGGACTACAAAAAGATCCTGTCAGCCATCTTTTCTCAGTCGCCCAAGAAGTTTGAGGATATGGCCTGGGACATGGACTCGCGGGGAGCGCCGGCGGCGAACGAACTGCTCGTCCAGGGTCTCGTGAAACAACGCCTCACATCGATCTTCCGCCGACACGGCGCCGTCGAGACGACGCGACAAATGCTGTTTCCTCGTTCTCAGCACTATCATAACGGGGCCGTGCGGTTGCTGGATTCGTCGGGTAACCTCCTTCAGCTGCCTTTTGACCTGACCCTGCCCAATGCTCGTGCGATTCCCCGGCAAGACCCGTCCCTGGAGAAGTCTTTCACGTTTGGCACCGTGTATCGTGAGATGTCCCACGGCGGCGAACCGCGCACGCATAAAGAAGTCGATTTTGATATCATGTCGCCAAACGCTTTAGATCTGTCCTTGAAAGAGGCGGAAGTCATCAAGGTGCTCGACGAGATCATCGAAGAGTTCCCCCCGTTACGACTAGCCTCGATGTGCTTTCTCATCAACCATTCGGATTTACTCCAACTCATCATGGAATTCTGCCGCATCACTCCGTCTCAAGTCCCCTTGGTCAAGGAAATTATGAGCAAGTTGAACGTCGGGAAGTGGAATATGCAAAAGATCAGGAGTGAGCTTCGCTCCCCTTCGATCGGCATCGCTTCGACCTCGTTGGACGATCTTGCCCGCTTCGACTTCCGAGGTTTGTTGGCTCCTCCCACTCCTCGAACGCTCGTTGACTAACCTTGGTAGACTCTCCGAAACAAACTCAGAAGCGGCTTCGGGCGATCATGGAAGGCACTCCGTTTGCCGAGCGGCTGGCGCCCATCTTCACCCGTATCAACCTACTGGTGACGTATCTGCAAGGGTTTGAGGTGAAACGGAAGGTGTACGTCAGTCCTCTGGGGAGTCTCAACGAGAAGTTTTACCGTGGCCGCATACTGTTCCAGTGTGTCTTCGACAACAAGCGACGGGATGTCTTCGCAGCCGGTGGTCGATATGACTCGTTGGTTCAAGAGTTTACTCCCAAGCTGCTCGGCAGTAGTCCCCAGACACATGCCGTCGGCTTCAATCTGAGCTGGGACCGGCTCAGCTCGGCCATGGTTGAATTTCTTAGAGCGCCCACGAAGACCCCAACCAAGCATCCTGAAACGGATGCTGGGGTTTTCTGGAGAACCAGACGGGTGAGTCTTTCCACATGCAACCTTCCTGGTTTACTCTGTAGCCCCGTCACTAACATACTCCAGTGCGATGTACTTGTGGCCAGTTTTGATGCCACCGTGCTGCGCACATTAGGCGTCAAGATCGTGCAGGACATGTGGGCAAACGACATCAGCGCCGAGCTCGCCGTCGATGCGCTCTCCCTTGAGGACCTCATAAGCAAGTACCGCGACCACAATCACGGTTGGATCGTGATCGTCAAGCAAGACAGCCTAGAGCGGGGCTTCAAAGTGCGTTGTCTCCTGCCGTGGGAAGAGTTCGACATCAGGAGCCCGGAGCTAGTCCCCTGGCTGCGGAACGAAATCTGGGCGCGCAATCACCGCGAAGGCTTGGTAGATCCCCGACAAATCCGACCACTCAGCCAAGCGGACGTCAGCGGCGGGGCGAGCGAGCGCGCCAACGACGTGCGCATCCTCCTCTCCCAGCACCGCAGCAAGAAGACCAACCGGCGGAACATCGTCGAATCCGCGCTCGTCCGCTCGCGCGAGGTCATGGAACACGCGTTGAACGGGCCCATCGCCGCCATCGACACTCGCGACGATCTCCTCGAAGCCATCCGCGACACGCGCCTGTCAGACCCAGACAGCTGGCGCACGGTCATCCAGAACGCGCCGCTGACAGAGCGCAAGTACCTCAGCCAGGTGCACGAGCTGATGACCGACCTCGCCAACGAGGGTCGTGCCCGTGACGGGGCGGATCACTACAGCAACGCTTTCATCTACAACTACCGTACAGGTTCTTGCCTGTACTACGATTTGGGAGGTGCAAATAATCAATGATGATCTAGATATATATATACATAACTAGATGTACGGAGTCATGTGTTATGCCTGTCATGTGTTGAATGTTCATGTTTTTCCTTCAGTTGCATTGCATTTTGATTTGCGTAATTTGGTCGATTTTTTGAATTCTCCTCTCCGAGTTCTATAGCCAATACCATAGCAAATATACCCTTTCGCATGCCGGTAAAACCACCTACCTGTTTGCATGTATTCCTGCGTCAGGACAACAAAACACCTGCAAAGCAAGACCAAATCTAAAGCGATGAATATTATATGATAAAAGGTATCTCTGTTATTGTACAGGCCAGATGCAAAACATGACGGTAATAAATATAATCGATGAAAAAAAAAAGGAAGAACACCCCAAATCAACCCAACTTGAATCAAATCAAAAACGGGAAGAAAAGAAACCTTAAACTAATCACTATCATCATCACTTCCGTAGCCCACTAATGGCCCCGATGGAGCCTTGGCCGCTTGCGTGGTGATATTGCCCCCGGCCATACTTTGTAACGCGGCCACTGTCGAACTGTTGAAGATTCCCCCTCCACCAGTCACCTGCCCTTGTGCAGCGGGAGCAGGAGTATCATAGGCAGCAGCAGCACCAGCAGACGACGACGACGCACCCTCAAGCATAAGCTGCTCAGCCGGTGCCTCAAGCTGCGCCGGCTGCTCCGATCCCTCCAGCGCCTTAGTCCGCGTATACCAGATCTCATCTGACGGCTCGTAACCCTGGAGACCGAACGAGCCCTCGATCTTCCGCCGCTTTTTGGCCTCGGGGTCCTTGCCCTCTAGCTCGGCGACGTAGTCGGCTGGGAGGGCCCTTCGCACGGCCTCGGCGGCTTGCTCTTCGAGACGGCGGGCTTCGCGCTTTTGCGCGAGCGGGTTCGGGTCGACGGTTGCCCAGCGCACGTTGAGGATCTCGCTGTGGTCGAGGCTTTGGTGGGCCATGGCTTCTTTGGCGAATTCGGCGTTCTATTGAGGGTTAGTATGTGGGAGCATAGGGACGTACAATGGCATGCCCGGAGAAGTGCAGGGGGAGGAACTTACAGCTGTGTTGGTATATGTGACGAACGCCACTCCCCGCGCAGTCAAGACACGGATGCGATCAATCTGCCCCCACTCCTGGAAATGGCGCGAGACAACCTCCTCGATATCATCCGAGACGTGGATGCGGCCCACGTACAGCGTGCGATTCTGGCGCGTGAACGACCCCACACCGCCCATGTCATCTCTGTAGTCGCTGAACTTATCACGGCCAAAGCAGTCAACGTTGGGGTTGAACAGGTCGTGAAGTGTCGGCAGACGATGCAGATACTCGCACTCGTGGCCCTTGTGGCAGACGCCGCGCGCGAAGAACAAGCAGAAATAGGACCCCGTGACCTTATCCGCCCGCGTGTATCCGCTGTCCTTGGCGATGTTGCAGCGGCCCTCGGCGGCGTGCTTGGACAGGTACTTGTCTTCGCGGTCGCCGCCGGACCACTTGTTGTACCAGATGTTGAAGATGGTGCCGGTTTGCGGGGGCGGTTCGGACTTGACGGTCGCTGGGTCAATCTGCGGCCGGGCAGGACGACGCTTGCGGCGGATGATCTTTTTGGTCTTCTTCGCGGCGACGGTGCTGTCGCCTTCTTGCTCTGGCTCTTGGGATTGCTGGTCGGTGGTGGTTGTTGTGAGGGCGTTTTCGTCGGTGGCGGTCTGTTGGTCCATGACTGGAGTCGGGGAGGGCTCTACGGCCCCCGGAGCATCGATGACTGCCGTGTCCGCCATTGTGAAAGGATGAAGATCTCTTAGGCGGGGAAGGGGAAACTGGAGAAGTGTGATGGAAGAAGGATACTTTTTGACGATTGAGATTCGCATCTCGGAGGTCGATGCTTACATAAGACGAGTCAGTCTTGGCATCGACGATTTTGAGTTGATATGAGATTCTTATCGCCAATCCTCAGTCCAGCTATTGAAGCTTGCTGCACATCATCCCTGGAGAGCTTCTCCTTTACTGTTCTCTGCTATAGTCATACAGGGCATCTGCGAAACTAGCCGAGCCTACCTCTCCGATCGCGTTTCTTTCTTTGCTACCCCGACTCCGTCCCGTTGTTGCAGAGTCCGCGGGGCTCCCACCGACAAGATGGTGAACATCACGGAGAAGATCAAGGAGTACGTATGGCATGGAGTTGGTCGTGGGGACTCTAGGTTCGGGCACCGGAGCTGACACGATCCAGGATTGAGGATGAGATGCGCAGGACGCAGAGTAAGTTCATCTGTTCTCCCCGCAAGCTGCCATCCGCCGAAGAATGCCCCGCGCTAACAATCCGATAGAGAACAAGAACACAGGTACGACCACGCCGACTTACCTATTATCCCCATGAATTTATTCGGTCTCTGACATATTTCGCCTGCAGAATACCATCTGGGTCTGCTCAAAGGGTACCTCGCCTTTCCGCCCCGTATCTCTCCCCCCGCCCCGCTAACAAACGGATAGAAAGCTTGCCCGACTGCGCGCCCAGCTCCTGGAACCTACCGGTGGCTCAGGCGGCGGTGGCTCCGGATTCGATGTCAGCAAGAGCGGTGACGCGCGAGTGGCCCTGGTTGGGTTCCCCTCCGTCGGAAAGTCCACCTTCCTAGGCCAGATCACGCGGACGAAGGCCGAGACCGCAGCCTACGCGTTCACCACGTTGACGGCTATCCCTGGTGTGTTGGAGTATGGCGGCGCCGAGATCCAGATTCTGGATTTGCCTGGTATTATCGAAGGGGCTTCTGAGGGTAAGGGGCGAGGGCGGCAGGTTATCTCGGCTGCTAAGGTACATACATCTCCTCTTTTTTTTCCAGGCCCAAAGTTGGAATCTGACGGAAGATAGACAAGTGACTTGATCATGATGGTCCTCGACGCCACGAAAAAAGCAGAGCAGCGCGCTCTTCTAGAGGCGGAACTGGACGCCGTGGGAATTCGGCTGAACAAGGACCCTCCGTATGTTCCTCTGCTTCGCCTCTCCTCTCCCGGTGGTGGATGAACTGACCGAACAGGAACATCTACTTGAAACAAAAAAAAGCGGGCGGCATCAAAACCACCTTCCAGACACCGCCCAAGTACCTCGACGAGAGGATGATCTTCAACGTGCTCAAAGACTACAAGATCTTGAACTGCGAGGTGCTGGTTCGAGACGAGAATGGTACTTTATTCCTTTTCTTCCCTACTGTCACAGCCACAAGCAAAGACTAAGTAACTCGCAGCCACAATCGACGACTTCATCGATGTGATCATGAAAGACCACCGGAAATACATTCGCTGGTAAGCCATCCCCTATCAATTACCCACCCTAAACCCCAACAAGAATCAAACTCATAACGAATGACAGCCTCTACGTCTACAACAAAATCGACAGCGTCAGCCTCGACTTCCTGGACCAGCTCGCCCGCGAACCCTACACAGCGGTCATGAGCTGCGAGCTCAACCTCGGCGTGCAAGACGTCGTAGAACGCCTGTGGAAGGAACTCCGCTTGATTCGGATTTACACGAAACGGTTCGTCCTCCCTTCTACTCCCCAAGCTATCTACCCCCCTAGTATAAGATAAAGGGGGAATAAGAAAGAAAGAAAGAAGTAAATGCTAAGCATCCAACAGAAAAGGCGACGAACCCGACTTCTCGGAGGCCCTCATCGTCCGCCACAATTCGACCATCGAAGACGTGTGCGACCAGGTGCATCGCACACTGAAGGACTCGTTCAAGTATGCGATGGTGTGGGGCGCCAGTGCGCGCCATGTGCCGCAGCGGGTGGGACTGAGCCATCCTGTGGCTGATGAGGATGTTGTGTCTATTGTGGCGAAATAAATGAAATAATTAGTTACTTGCTTGCTACACTGTTCCTGTCTTTGAGCGGTAGAGGAGATTTGTGTAGTTTTACTCAGGTTCTACGGTAGGTTTCTAGGGTGTGATTGCACAGGGATGATTATGGATATCTGTAATGGTTCGTATTAAAGATATTCAATTAGGTGAAAGCAACAGTAACAATGTCCCAGACAATTGTCAATTTGACCAGACCCCGAAAAAAAAAACGCCAGAACAGAAACAAGATTATAGCCCCTTAAGCGGCAGCGGCGGCAGCAGCAGCGGCGGCAGCCACGTTCTGCATGCCGATGGTGGGCTGCACACCCACACGCTCATTGGCGAGCAGGTCGACCAGGAGCGGGCTGGGGATGGACTCCCGCTCGGGGAAGAAGGCCTTTTGGCTGGTCTTGTACTTCAGGACGCTGTCCAGGTAGATGTCGAACAGGTAGGAGGAGTCCAGGGGACCGCCCTTGGCCTCGGGGTGGAACTGGGTGCTGAAGATGGGGCGGGACTTGTGGATCATGCCCTCGTTGCTGGAGTCGTTGAGGTTGACGAAGTAGGGCTTCCACTCCGAGGGCAGGGTCGAGGCGTCGACCGCGTAGCCGTGGTTCTGGCTGGTGATGTGGCAGCGACCGGTGCTCAGATCCAGGGCAGGGATGTTGTGCGCGCGGTTGCCGTACTTCAGCTTGACGGTGCGGGCACCGGCGGCCAGAGCCAGCAGCTGGTGACCCAGGCAGATGCCGAAGATGGGGACCTGGGAGTTCTCCATCAGGCAGCGCAGGTGGTGGGTGGTATCCTGGCAGTGGGTCGGGTCACCGGGGCCGTTGGAGATGAAGACACCGTCGAAGTGGTGGGCGACCTTGTGGATGGGGAAGTCGAAGGGGAGGACGGTGACGCTGGCGCCGCGGCCGACCAGGCTGCGCAGGATGTTCTCCTTGACACCGCAGTCGATGACGGCGACGTGGCACTGGGGGTCGGCGGCCGCAATGTGGAAGGGCTGCTTGGTGCTGACCTGACGGACGAGGTGGATCTGCTCGGGATCGGTGAAGGCCTCGTCCTGGTCGGCGTCGTACTCCTCACCGACGGTGATCCGGGCGAGGGAGGAACCCTGCTCACGGAGGTAGGTGACGATCTCGCGGGTGTCCACACCGGAGATGGCGGGGACGCCCTCGCGGGCGCACCACTCGCCGAGACTCTCGACGGCAGTCCAGTGGCTGTACTGCTCAGCGACGTCGGCGACGACGACACCGGCGGCCTGGAGGTTGGGCGACTCAAAGTACTTGAGCAGACCGGACTGGTCCTTGGAGGCGGAGGGAACGCCGTAGTTGCCGATCAAGGGCTGGGTGAAGACCAGGATCTGGCCACGGTACGAGGGATCGGTCAAGGACTCGGGATATCCGACCAGAGAGGTGGTGAAGACGGCCTCGCCGGAAATGTTGGAGCGGGCTCCAAACGACTTTCCGTGGAAGATGGGGCCATCCCGGATGGTGAAGGTAGCGCGTTCAGGAGCAGGACGCTGCTGACGAACGGTCGCCATGAAGCGAGACTGCATGGTGGCCTTCATTGAAGGGAAGGCAGAGACCCGGGCGGGCATGCCCTTGCTGAAGATTTGGGCGAACATAATGGGGGAGATGTGATGATTCTAATGTGATGATTCTGATTCGTTGATGGGGAATTCAGTAGTTTCCAGAAGCTTTCCAGAGGTGATCCGAAATGTAGTCCTAATTGAATTTCTATTAGCATGCTGTTCATTGTTCGAAGGGATCCGGGGAAAGGCAGCCGTACCTGAGAAGTGAAGATGGAGGGTGCCAAACACATAAGCGCGACTGTGGGATTACCAGTCACTAAATTAAAAAAAGGGAAGAGATCTGTTAGATCGACATGAATGAGTCTTTAGTGGGATTGTTGATGGGTAGGTAGTGATGTGGTGGTGAAGGTTGAGATGGAAGAAAGAAAAGAAAGAAAGAAAGAGAAGGAGAGGAAGAAAAAAAAAGCTTTAAGAAAAACGGACGGCGGCAAACCGGACAAACCGGACAAAATCACGGGAAAAAATCTCAGTGGGGGAGCCGGCACGTGTTCCGGCTCACCGACTCTGCTGGGCCAATCATCTCGCTCAGATTGGGCTGATCCGATATTCGGACTGGTTTGTTCAACGCGTTTCCCTTCTCTAGGTACCAGTCCCTCTCCCTGTCCCTCCAAGCGATATCTCAACTCGGTCGGATCCACTATTATGGTGGGCCTTGGACTATTGGACTATTGATGTTAGTTGGCCACCGCGGTTATCGCTTCGATTTTTCAACGCCAACACCCTGCGGGATCCACTGTCTATCGCGACTGGACTTTGCATTGGAGGATGTCGGATTGCTTAATTCACAGTCTCGTTCCTAATCTATTCTTAATCGGACGGAGGAATTTAAGTAGGAAACAGGGACGATGAGAGATGATTTTTGGTTGCAAGTGGATCCGTTGGCTACATGCCGCATGAAGTACATATATTCATCCCGAGATGAATGGTCGTTGACTCCCAATAGACCCCACCTCTTATCGATCTCGTCTGGGCTGTCGTGATACCACCGACTCAGGTCCGTGAGCGCTGAGAAGATGGGTTGGGAAACCTAGGTCACCATCGCCTAGCAGACATGATACATCCATTGGGCCGATGCCATGAAGATCCGTCGCGGATCTCTCCAAGTTTAGAACGGATGAATTAGCACGAGTTGTAGGCTGCGGTTGAATGCTACATGGTTTAGAACATGGGGTAATGAAGAGTCGTCTATACGGAATACCTGTTGAGGTCCTCTTGCACGCGGAGACGAGGTCATCTTTCCAGCCACCCGCAATGCAGATCGCTTCCTGGGATCCCATGCAGCGACGAAAATGCCGTTCCCTGCTTGATGTGATGAGTCACAGATGGGCTGGATTGGCCTAGAGGGGATCCAGTTGTGCATCTCTCCTGGATTTTCCCTGTCACAATGAGTACTAAGTATCCAATCACCTCTATCTATCGGACATGACTCTATCGGGTACTCCGAGATTGGGGGCCATCTTTGTTAGGGATCTTCCCGTCGCGCAGAGCGTCAACAGGATTGCACGGTCACGCGTCTGCCACTCCTCCAACTCAGGTCTACCCTATACTAATGGATTGACTGTACTATCCAAACACATTACTCATGAAGTCGAAGTAGGACATATTGAAAGTAACTCCCACGCGAACTCGCCTGGAGATTTACACCAAGGAATCGCCTCGTTATACGCACGGCGTAGAGAGCATGCAAGATATGCACACCAGAGCCCCGCCCAAAGGCCAGCCAAACGGTGGATTTTTTTTCGGGGAGGTCCCCTATGGACATCATTCGCCCATGCCACGTCAACCGGGGTTCGAAAGGCACGGAACCTTCGTCCAGGAGCAAACGAGAAGATCAAACGAGCGGGCCATTAACTTCATTTGGAGACTCGACATCATCAACAGGTGCATCAACACGCTGCTCCAGGCGCCGCACTGTTCCTGGATCTTGCAGAACAATAACGGCAGCACTTTGGCCACCAACAAGACCCCGTCTGATGCAGCGACGATGGCCTGGAGCTAACCCCACCCCGAATTAGACTCCCTCCCCATGCCGTACGACCAGGGCACTAGAACGAGCACTGGGTGCAGAGGCACTTGGCGTGTCGATCAACTACACCGAGAGCGTCTCGAGAGTCTCGAACTGGTTCCTCGCGAGGGACAACGACGTGTGGGCTAACCTGGGAACCCGCCTCGGTGGCCTCGCCGCTGTGCTGGATTTCAAGACCGGGACTACATGTGTCCTTGGACCGGAAACGACGTGGTCAGCCGGCAGGTGGCACACCGCGAACTAGCGGGTTCATTCGCGCGGCCGGCAATGCGGCCTTGCAGACTAACGGGACATTTGTCGGCGGGCGCCCGCTACCAGACAGAAGGGACCCCTCGACCTGGGATATCAACCAACCACGCACTGCTACCTGTGGTCGATCCAGGCGATCTGCACTGACGAGTAGCGGGAGATTTCCATGTGGGGGGAGAATGAGACACTGTAGTCATTCATTCAGTCTTTTTCTCTTTCCTTTCTTTACCTACATCTTCGGTCTCTCTGCCTTGAGTCTTCCATCCTTTACTCTTTCTCTCTATCAATGGGTCGGTCCTGATCCTTATGATGTCTTATATACTTCAGCTGGATGTAGATTAAGTAATGGATGATGTGGCTGACTCAATGCTGACTCAGGCCACGATCCAAGAGACGCCAGTCGACGATGCGATCAGGATGAAGATGGATGATGCTCTCTCATCTTCTGTATCATTGATTTTCTGTCTCAAGGGACTTGCCCAATGAATGACGATCGATCTGGATGAACCTCGTTGGCGATCGAAGCTTCTCGAATCTTCGAGCAGGCAGAGGCAAAAGTGAGGAGCTGCGGTCAACGTCACACGTCACATCACCTTTTCTATCGTCAACGGTCTCTTTCTTCCTCTCGTGCAGGAACCGTCAAATCAGCCAACTCTTCTTGCTGACTTCTTTTTTTCTCTCTCTCCTCCTTGTCTTTCGTCTATCACCTTTGTTGTCAGATCGTATTTAAACCACTATTGAGTTCTCACCTGCGTTCTGTTCCCCAGATCTATCTGGTCACCGCCCCGAATCTTCTACGTCATTCACGCTCTCTCCCCCCCACTTCGGTCCTTTTCCCTCCCCCTCCGTCCAAGGCCGCCGTGGCTGACTCTCGCCTTGGACGTCGACTGTATATTCGATCTACAACTCGTCAAATTTTCTCTCACGACGTTGTGATTTCTCTCTGATTCCGAAAATACGTGACCCTTCTTCCAACAATCATCCTCGGTCAACACCCCAATTCCGAAAGCGAACGACACAATGGTCGCGGAAACGAAATTGTACGACTCCCTCAGCGTCAAGCCTGAGGCGTCGCAGGATGAAATCAAAAAGGCCTACCGCAAGGCGGCTCTCAAGTACCACCCGGACAAGAACAAGGATAACCCCCAAGCTTCTGAGAAATTCAAAGGTATGACCTCCTCGTCCCTAGCCCCGACACGACCAGTCTCACTGACTTTGCTTTCTTTTTCAACAATGTAGAGGTCTCTCAAGCATATGAGGTCCTTTCCGATCCCGAGAAACGAAAGGTCTACGATCAGTTCGGCCTCGAGTACCTACTACGCGGGGGTCCCCCTCCCGGGCCCACCGGTGGTGCGGGCCCCGAGGGCAGCCCCTTCGGCGGCGGCGGAATGCCCGGTGGATTCTCGTTCGGAGGGATGCCGGGTGGTGGTGGGGGTGGCGGTCGCACCTTCCACTTCTCGACAGGGCCGGGCGGCGGCGGCTCTGGCTTCCGGTTCAGCTCCGCCGACGACATCTTCCGGAATTTCGCCAAGGCCAGTGGTGGCATGGGCGGCGGCGGCGGCGGCGGCGGCGGCGGGTTCGACGACGATGATATCTTCTCCATGTTGAACGGTGGTCTCGGCGGAGGTGGCGGCCCTCGCGCCCGCACCACTCGCGGCCCCGGTGGATTCCCGCAGTCGAGTCGGCGGGGACCAACGCCCGAGCCCACGGTGGTGGAGAAGGAGCTGCCGCTGACGCTGGAAGAGCTGATGCGCGGCACCACGAAGAAGGTGACGGTCAAGAGCCGGTCCTTTGACGCCAGCGGCAAGCGCACCGTGCAGGACGTGACCTTGGAGGCCAACATCAAGCCGGGTTTGCGGACGGGCTCCAAGATCAAGTACCGCGGGGTCGGGGACCAGGAAGAAGGCGGCCGTCAGGACGTCCATCTCATTGTGACAGAGGTACGCAATTCCCTTCCCCCCCTTTTGAAAGTCAAGAGCAAGACAGAAGATGCTAACAATCCGTAGAAAGAAAATCCCAACTTCAAACGCCGCGGCGACGACCTCGTCACCACCGTCGATCTCAGCCTCAAAGAAGCCCTCACCGGCTGGGACCGCATCGTGCGCACCATCGACGGCAAATCCATCCGGGTGTCGAAACCCGGCCCGACGCAGCCCGGCCATGAGGAGCGATATCCCAATTTGGGCATGACGATATCGAAGAAGCCCAGCGAGCGGGGGGATCTGATCGTGCGGGTGAATGTGAAGTTCCCCACGAGTCTGACTGCATCGCAGAAGGATATCCTGAAGGATGTTTTGACTTGATCGTTTTTTATTTCTTTCTTTTGTCGTGCTGGGTTTGTGTGATTTAGGAGTAGCATTGGAGTCGGCGTTAGGGAAGGGATGATGATGATGGTCATGTATATTCTTAGATCAGACGAAAAAATAACCAAAGTCCTTTCATATGTTCATTACTCGATATACTTCAACAGTGGAGTCCGTATCCTTCCAATCCCCTCATCAGATCCCCTAAACCCAATCGGGAAATCCACCGTAGTCAACCCGTGACCTCATGCGGAGAAGCCAAAACAACCGTCACCTGCTCTCCTCTCCTCCTCCTCTTTCTTCTTCCTTTGCTCTGACTTCCTCCTTCCACAACTCATATCAATACTCGATATTACTTTCAAAATGCGTCGAAGAATAACCCTCCTCCAGCACGCCTCCACCCCCTACGACCCAACCCAAGCCCACCTCTCCCCCGACGCCCTCTCCCTCCGCACCCTCGACGCCGCCCGCGAAGACCGCACCACTTTTGCTTTGGATGAGATTCCTTCTGAGGTGTGTTCTCTTCTTCTCTCTATCTCTATCTTTCCCCCGGACTTGTTTGATACGAGCGAGCGCGTGTGGACGAATACAGGCGGTATCACATCAAACAGAATGAATGGGAGAATTCGGAGCTAATGCGGTGTGTTATGCTGGATAGCTCAGGAAAGTCCTACAATCATGCTATCAGCTTCATGTGAGGTGGGCGAGTGAGAGACCCGCTGGGGCGCCGGCGCCGTTTGCGAGTCGTGTTAGTTCCGGGTTGCATGTTTTGTTTACGCCTGGGGAGGGGGTGGATGGGGATGGGTTTGTCTCTTCCTCTTTCTGGTGATATGTCTAGAGTGTGAATGTGGTTACTGATTATAGGATCTATTTTATCGTTGTAGAGAGTCTCTGTGTCAGACACTGAAGCAAGCATTCGGGGATGAGGTGGATTGTGTTTCTCCCGAGGTACGTCCGCACCCTCCTTTCTCATGCTCAACTGAGTGGAAAAGATAAGACTAATGAGGATAGTCATCATTCATCACCCCCCCAATCCTCTCCACCCGCTTCGCCGCCTCTACTTCGTCCCAATTCTACTCCCGTCTTCCATCCCTCGACTCCCTCATTGCCTACATCGAACGCGGCGTCTGCGCGTCGTCCTCGGACCCCGATAGCTGCCACCAACAAGCGGAGGCCCTCCGCTCCGCTGACTCCCTCGACATCAACTACGATAGTATCTCGCATGCGCTGACCGTCTCCGGGTTCTGGGACTCCGCGCCGCAAGGCGGGTGGACGGAGGAGATTGCCAAACCGGTCCGCAAGGGGACGGATCAGATTGAGGTTGGCTTGCTCGGTGCCGAACCGGCGAAGGAGCCCGAGGAGATCAAGATGGGAGGCTTACTGGGTGTCGTGGGGAATGATGATCAACTGAGTATGTCCATTTTATCTACCCATTTGTCTTGCGATAAGTCGAGTCGGATGCTAACCCGCTAGAACCCACGCTTTTCTCCTTCCCCGCACGTCATCACGATCTCCCCAACGAAGCCACCTACAGCGTGTCCTTCCCCCCGCCAACAGGGCTGCACCCAACAATGACAATCTCCCTGCCGCAGGCATCACTGCATCGCCCGCCCGCTCCACCCGACGCGACCTGCGCGCTACACACCTACCTCACGCTCCCGTCCACCATCTTCGGCGACAAGTACCAGCTCTCGACAACCGACCCGCTCTTCCTATCCTCGCACAACCTCGCCGCCCTCCGCGCCGTAGCAGGCGAAACCGACCTCGAAGCCCCAGACTGGTCCGTCTCCCGCTGGGGCTCAACCTGGCTCCTAGAGCTCGCCACGCCGGACCCAACCTCCGACGAATGGAACGTCACCGTCCCACTCCACCTCCGCTACCTCAAGCCCTCCGAGTCAGGGATCCGCTCCGCAGCCGTGCCCTGGCCCGTCGTCTTCTGGGCCTGCACAGCCGAAGACGGCACCAAGATGGGCGTCAATCCCTTTGACAGGGCGAATCTCGGCTGGGACGGCCTGTTCGGCCCGCGGACGATGTTCTACCAGCTGCACCCGGCGCCGCAGCCGGGCGCCCCGCTCGTGGAAGAGCTGGAGGTGCCTGTTCTTCGACTAGAGAATGAGGGTATCTTCCAGGGTAAGGTGATTGAGTTGGCTACTGTGGCGGTCATCTCGTTGGGATTTGTGTGGGTGTTGTGGAAGTTGGGATTGGTGGTGCGGGGTTCGGGTGGAGGCGTGGATGCAAGGAAGAGGGAGAAGAGGGGGAAGGCGGAGTAATTTCTGTTTTTTGTCCTTCTTTCCTATATTTTTTTTTTTTTTCATTTGGTTGATGGGATATTCTCCTGCATTTAGCGAGCTTCGTCCTCTGGATATATATATATATAATGGTACAGTGGTGGTATCATTGCGTCAATCGTAGATATATACAAAAAAAAAGAAAAAAATAGAAGGATAAGAAAGATATAGAAAGAGCCTGACTCGTAGACCAGATCTGACACAGACACAGACAAGCCATATGTGAATGAAACGGTCCCTCAAAAGCCATGAGCAAAAAATATTTTTTAAAGAGAAAGTCAAATCCTCGTAGTCGGCATCGGCGTCGAAACATCCGTGTCAAGAAACGTATCCAGATCATACTGCGACAAATGCGGCATATCAATCAAGACGTCGCTCAGCCACGAGAAGCCCGGATAGTCCGCCAGGGAGTGGGTGGACGGGGCGCGCTCGCGGTCGGTCCAGTCCATGGGCGGGGCGGAGACGTCCGCGTTGACGCGGAGGACGTCGCGGAGGGCGCGGGTGTCTTCTTCCTTGCGGCGCTGGTGGAGGAGGATGAGGAGGTAGGCGGTGGAGTAGGCCTCGCGCATGACGTCTGTGTTGTAGGCGGCGGCGACCTCGCGGAGGGTGCGCATTGCGTCGCCGAGGAGGAGGAGGGAGGCGCGGGTGTCGATCGCGACGAGGGTGCTGACTATTTGGAAGGGAACGTTGGCGACCTGGTGCCAGGGGCTGTCGGAGGCGACGAGGTCGCGGGAGGCGCGGAGGGCCTTGGCGGCGAGGGCGAGGACGCGGTCGAGGAGGTCGCCGGCGATGCCGGTGTGGAGGGCGCGGAGGCGGCGGTAGATGCAGAGCATGAGGTTGCATTGGGCGAGGACGAGGGTGGGTTGCGGGTGGATGAGGTCGAGGACGTGGGTGAGGGCTGCTTCGAGGTCGGGGAGGTCTTGGGTGGTGCTGGGGTCGAGGTTCTCGGAGATGGGGAGCAGGTTAAAGATCTCGGTGGTGTAGCCGGAGGGGCGCGGGGTCGGGGGGAGGGTGGTGGCGCCGTAGAGGACGACGCGCGAGCGGCTGAGCTCGAAGGAGATCCAGGTGTTGAGGTGCCGGGCCATGCCGAAGAGGCGGCGGCGGAACTCGGGGTCGCAGGGGTAGGGTTCGTCGGAGGAGGTGGGGGGGATGGACTGGCCGAGGAGGATGGGGTCGGGGTGCGGGGCGGAGGAAGGGTCGGGCGGTTCCAGGTGGAGGCCGGTGGCCTCGATGAGGTGCATGAGCGTGCAGCTGGCCATCCAGGTGGCATGCGGGGAGGCGGTCATGCGCAGGTAGGCGACGCGCAGGACCCAGCCGGCGATGAGGTCTGCCGCGGAGGGCGAGGGCTCGGCGAGGACATTCTGCTCGAGGATGAGCCGGGCGGTCTCGGCCAGCTGGAGCTCGGTGGAGGTGGCTTGGCGGCGGGAGAAGAGGTAGCCGAGGGCGGCGACGCCACAGAGGACGGCATCGTAAGGACCAAAGGCGAGGGCGGACTCGGCGGTGGGGGGCAGCCAGCGCCGGCTCACCTGGCGGAGGAGGCTGTCGCGGTCGAGGAAACCGTAGCAGGGGTCGATCTTGTCGAAAAAGATGTAGGTCAGGGAGCGCATGTCGTCCTGGGAGATGGTCTCGACGACGGGGACGGCGCTCCGGGCCGGGAGGGTCGAGGGCGGGTGACGGATGCCGACGTTCCAGGCGAAAAGGTGCAGCTTGGGGGCATTGCGCGGGTCAATCTTGAGGGCCAAGCGACGCACGAAGGCGGCGCCCGAATTGGCTTCACGCGAGTTCAGGCGGATGCCCGTGGAATCTCCGGGGGCGGGTTGGTCGTGATGTGGGGGAGGGTGGTTCTTGGGAGTGGGGTCGTCGTGGACCACACTGGCGACGGACGGGGTGTTGGTGGGATGGGGACGGAGAGGTCGGACGTCCCTCTTCTTGCGCGAGAGCAGGTCATACTGACAGTCGACCCCGAACTGCAAGCAGGTACTGCAGGGTTGATCGCCGGAGCATTTTCGCTTGCGAGATTGGCACGAAGTGCAGGCGACTCGCGAGCGTTTCCTGGAGTGGTCAGCGGGGGGGTCAATCGGGATGGATTCCATGAATAGAATCAGAGATGAAGAGAGAGAAGAGAAAGGGTAAGAATAGGTAAGAATAGGTAAGAAGAGAGATGAGAAGAGAGATGAGAAGAGATGAGAGATGGAGAAGAGGAAAGTAAAGAAAAGATGAGGAGAAGAAATGTTGGAGAAGAAGACCAGCCAATAACAGCCCGGATGGCCCAAACAGGGAACCCGACCATGTGACATTCCGTACCTGAGGTATCTACCATTATATCTCAACTACTTCAGCACAATTACTCTCTATACCTACTCCCATTCGGATATCTCATCAGATCCTCCAATTCCCGCAGATCAGGCATTCCCGCCGGTCCGGGCATATACTGGGAATTCTCCCGAAAGGTCGTCCCATTCCACCACAGCTCATTCTTATGCAGGGCCTCCATGATCTTCCCGGCGTCGATGAACGTGCGAATCTCCACCATCTGGCCTTCGTGCCAGCGCGTTACCCAGACGTTGACGATGTCAAAATCGTCTCCTATATCATTCATCAGTCTCAGATCATGACATAACATATATAGCAAGAGAAAGAAAAAAGGGAGACAAGGGAGGATACCAGAATTCATCACCCCCCTAAAATTAACCTCCGCAACACTCCACCGACTCTCACACCCCCCGTGGATCGCCCGCGGATGAATCTCAAACCTATCCGCATGGTCGTAAAACAGCACACTCACCCTCCTCAACGCATTCACATAGAAATGCATCAAATCCCCATAGTGCCCCGCAATCGGGTGGTTGCCCATCACCGTGAAGCTGACGTTCTTGTGGATGAGCGTAAACAGCTTCGACATGTCCTTTTCCAGGCTTTTGAAGGCGTCCCAGATGTGCATCTGCGTTACGTAGGGACAGGTCGTGGACGGGTTGTCGAAGAGGAAGCCTTCGCGGTTCTTGTCCGGCCCGTGGGTTGGGGGGCGGGGGTAGGGGTTGCCGATGCCGTCGCCGTTGCAGTCGCTGTCTGGGTCGGCTATACCCGAGCCGTCGCAGTCGGGGCCCTCGAGGGGCTTACTGGGGGGTTGTAGTTGTAGGGCTTGTTGGGTGGAATGGCTGGCCCAGATGCGGAGGCAGTTGGCTGGGACGCTGGTGAGGAGGAGAGCCGGGATGGTGTATTTGAGGATGTGCATTTTCTTCTTTTTTCCCTTCTTTTTTCCCGTCCTTTTTTGGTATGTATGTTTTTCTATTTTATTCTTCTATTGTCTTGTCGTTACAGGGCTAAGATAGTGTAGTATATCTGGAGTATAAACGGCACGTAGAATATATATATACAGTCATAAATATCCGAACTATAATCAACCGTAGCTATGTCGTACACGGACGATTCCAAAATAAGCCGTTTTCACATTCCCATAAAGAATACTACTCCCTAGGTAGTAGGGACTAATCATAGTTCACCAGGACTGCATCACTCAATTATTATCTACCTAATAAGTACTAAAGGTACAACTATAACGAGCAACTCAACCAGATATCTTATATTCCATAGCACTATCTATATTGCAATGCTGTATCCAACAACTCAACACATGGGATACAAATAAATCTAATCCACTTGCTTTCCTACATAGCCCTCATCTCTTATACAACGGACCAAGAAGTAGCACAAAGAGTAGGAAACAAAAAAATAAGAAGAAAGAAACCAAACGCCCAGGTATATTTCCATGTCCCTTTCCCATCTGCACGCCAACACGCTAAGTGAACAATCGAAGAAAATAACTAAACTGAGGTATGGAGGTGGGTGGGGTGGAGGTACACATGAAAAAGAAAACAGAGAAAGGAATAAGGAGGGGGGGGGAGGGAGGGGGAAAGAGAGAAAGGGAGGCCAATAAATCTCTCCGGGTATATACAATTACACGAACCAATGAAATGCGGCGATGAAAGACTCTTATAAAACAGACGCAGTCTGCCGCTGCACGGAGGTCGTGTGGCTGTCTTCCTCCGTCACCGTCTTGACTGGCTCAACTGGATCAAGATCTAGCTTTTCCTCGTCGGCGTCCGGCCGGGCGTCCACGTCGGAGGTGGAGACTTTATCTTTGATGCTCGCCTCCGTGTCCGAGGCCGAGTCCCATGACCGGGCCGTGGATACCGAGTGGAACTCGTCCTTGTCTTGAACCCGGGCGGGAGATGCTCCGCGCGACGCCTCGGAGGCATCGTCGGTGGGGCCCAGAGGCAGTTCAGCAAATCCGTTTTGGGTCTGTTCCGTCTCGGGTGACGGGGGAGAATGGGAGACGGGTGACCTAGATGACGAGATGGACGGGCGGTGGTGCGGATCGCGGGGCGGGAGGGGCAATTCGGACTGATCCTGAATGGGCGAGCCTGGAGG